CCAAAAAGTTAAACAAATCATAACGGAAAATAAAATAGTTGAGTTATCTGTGCGTGAAAGTTTGTTAGACATATTCCAATATCTTCGTGTATAAAATTGTTACTTTTCTGGTGTGTTTAGAATCTGGACAACTGGAAGAGTAGTCGGAGGAAGCGTCAGGAGCACATCATCGAGCGGGTGGTCGAGGTGAAGAAACTCGAGCTGGAGGAACACGATCGGCAGCGTCGTCGGAGCAAAACTTTCTCGGAAATGATGGAAGAGAGAGGTAACAGGGGTCGAAAACTGAGCATCAGTTTGGCCATGTATCACGAGGAAGATGCCAATGATCTGAGCGACCTTGGTATTGGAACCAGCAGCGGAAAGAGCTCGGTTAGCGGCGATACGCATGACGACACGCACAGTGTCTTGGTAAGCTTCGTATTTCTATCGATATCACGTTGTAGAATTCCCCATATTTCTTTATTTATAACGTTCGAAAAACTCAAACTCAAAAAATCAGGGAATAGAAACGTGTAGAAATTATTGTTCGATTACACCGCAGAAGTTACATTCAATTTCCTTCCTTTTGACGTACATAAAATTAACTTTTTCCCTTGACTAAAGATAAATCCTCTCAACGAGAAAATTCTCTCACTGAGAAGGAAGAACTCGAAAAAAAGACTCGACGAACATTTTTCAGAGCGACAGAGACAGCGAAATAGAGAAGAATCACTCAGACGTGGACAACGTGGCGAGTGAGAGCGTGATCCACAACGATATCACGACATCGTCAGCAACCACGACGGCGACAACGACAACGACGACGAAGAAACCCTTCGGGAACGGGTTTCACAGCAGCAATCACAGTCACAACAACCAAGAGTACGATTCAGCGACGACGGCGACCACCAGCTCCCCGGAACCGGAAGAGTACACGTACGAGGGTGCAATTCGCGGCTACGTGTCTCGAGTGTCGCAAAATATACCGAGGCGATCGCTGGTCAACCTGGACTCGAAGCTCGACAGCGCCAAGTCGTCGACGAACGGTTCGAAGACGAGTCTGAACGACGAGGCCAAGTCCACGATACCGGTGGTGAAGGTGGACATCCTGAAGAGGCGAGAGATCTTCGAGAAAGCCTCGCAGAAGAGCAACGAGAGCAAGACGAACAACAGGCTCTCCGGCGATTTCACCGGCACAAAGTCTATCAAGGAACGATTGTCGAACTTGGAGAAGCAGAAGCACGAGGCGGAGAACAACAGCGAGAAGACCGGGACTAAAGCGTTGAACAGACTGTCCGGTGACATGAGCTCGATCCGCGAGAGATTGTCTCATTTGGAGAAGCAGGCGTCGGAGAGGGAGAGCAAGAATTGCGCGCATCGCAAGCTCAGCACCGAAGAACTGGATACGGTCAGACCGCTACGGGACAGATTGTCCACGTTGGAGAAATACAGCAGCAGCGACGAGTCGTCGGCACCTGGCAGCGCGGCGCACGAGTCGCGACACAACGGCGAGCTATCCGCCAGATCGATAAAGGATCGTTTGAGCGCTCTGGACACGGCCAGGAGCAAAGAATCCGCCGACAAGAGATCGTCCTCCGTTGGCAAGCACTCGCTGTGCTTCCGCGATCAAGAGAACCGAATCGACACCTCGACACCCAGCGAGAGAAGCTCGTCGCCGGACTCGGAGTATCGCGTGCCAAGAGCCGCCTTTCACAGGAGCCTGGATTCTCTGGACGCGGACGCATCCAGCGGCCCCGACACGTTCGAGAGGGTGCAAAGTTTGGAGGAGTTGGATTACGGCAGACGTTACCCGGCGTCGTCGTCGTCCGCCGAACTGCTGAACGATACCGATCGCGAGGATTCCGGAATTCACACGGCCGATGTCAGCTGCTCAGTCAGCCAAGCTGACGAACCGGTCGACGAGGACATCGTACATGCCAGCACGGTCATCGAGCGGCAAGAGGTGATCGAGGAGAAGCCGGAGGAGCCTCGTGACGCCGAGGCGGCGAACGAAACCGCCGCTGTTGAACGGCAGAGCGCCAGCGTATCCGTGAACGAGATCACGACGACTTCTGCCAGCCAACCGGACGCAGTAGTAGCAAAGAAGGTAAGGCGTAACGACGGTGTTGCATGGCGGTTTCTCTACTGGGTAAATCTACTTTTAGTTGTCGTTATATCTACTTGGCTGGCCTATGTAAAAGTGAAAGTCTATTGAATGGGGTACAAGTTGAGTTTGCTTGTCGTTTCGCGGAATTTATTCTCCACGGTACAATACAAGAGTATTGGGCAATATCGTGTATGGATGTTAAAATCCGAGTATTCGAGTCGTTTTAGTTTGTGAAGGACGGTCGTCGAGTAACATCCGAGTCGAAAGTTTGAAACTCGTTCCACGGGATCGTTCAAACGTTTTGTTGAAAATTATTGGGACACGTTTTATTTTCAATAAAACTCTGCCACTTGTAGATCGTTTCAAATTCATATTTCGTTGATCATTAATTAATGCGTTACTGTATAATTTCTCATGGATGTGTTCCAGTTTTTTCAACTTTAAAGTTTGAGCTGGCGCATATTCGATTCGCGTTGAATTCGTCACAATTGTGAGAGCTGTTACTTGACGACCGTGTCTGAAGCATTTTTTTTTTTTTTTTAACAATCGCGATCTTTGACTGATAACGTATTATTCTTGTTGTTTGGTAACGGGATGGCAGGTAGTACGATCTATCCGATAACTCTTTGGTTCTCTAGGGTACTGCTGACACTTCTGGGGAACTGTCGACTAACAAATCACAATCGCAGGCACACATAGAGGTTACTAACTCTAGTACACTTCGTTCCTGTCCTGCCACGAGTCGTCCGATCGTGTATCAAAGTCCCAAAGTACCTCCGCGGCGATCGCCTCCCGACACGCTTCCCAAACCAAAGTTGCCTGCACCCAAAGAGCATCTAGATACTAAAACAGACTCTCTGCCCGCCAAAGAATCGAATTCCATCACCTCGAGTAACAAACTCCCCGCGGACGAACAGCGTTCGAAATTCGCTCTCGACGAGAAAGCGCGTAGTCCCTCAAAAGAGGACTCGACCAAAGTTACAGTTACCTCGTCTTCAGTATCATCGCTAGATCCTGCCGTCGTAGACGGTCATCCATCGTCACCTGCCAGAGCGGCAGTCGCTCTGACGAACCTTCAACTAGAGTCTAACGCTACCTCAGCCTCGAACTGCGCCGCGAAAGAAGTCGCAAAGACCACGACGCCGGTCACGTCGCCGCGTGCAGCATCCAAGATCCCCACTCCGCTCCCTCGGAAGACCGTAGGCGTTAAATCGTCGCCTACGAGCTCCGCGTCCTCTCCGAGTAGTCCGCCTGTCTCACCGTCGTCCCCCAAAACCCCGTTGCTAAAAGCTAGAATGTCGAGCGTTAAGAGTCCAACCGGTCAGACGTGTTCTCCGCAATTTCCAAAAGCATCGGAGATACCGGTCCCCGTCGGTTCCAACGTGTCGTGTAGCGCGAGCATCGTCATCCCCGTGTCATCACCCTCCTCGAGTTTCGAACAGTCATCACCATCATCGTCATCCCTCAGCGCGAAACATATCTCCTCCCCGACGTTCAGCACGAAACACCAGGTGACGGTGGGCGAAGAGAGCCTGCTGCCTGCAGAAAGACGGCGAACGGTGGTGGAGATTTGCGAAAAGGTGGTGGTACCTCAGGGCAAGACACCTACGACGCCCCCAGTGACGCCATTCATCACCGTGGATCGCGTCAGTGAGAAGCAGAGCGCAGCGACCGAGGTTAGGATCGATCAGCAATCTAGCAGCCCCTGCTCGAGAAAGTCTTAAAAAAAAAAAAAAAAAAAAAAA